TAATTTAAACAAACAAATTATAAATAAAACAGTAGAGTTTGTTAGTACGGGATGTCATATGTAACACTCTAGAGTTGTCAGTTAAAAGAGAAGCTCTTTACAATATTTTGCTTGAATTTGGTTTACCTAAGAAGCAAGTCAGACTAATTAAAACGTGTTTAAGTGAAACCTTTAGCAAAATTCATGTGGTAACATTTGCAAATTACATTTCCTATTCAGAATGGCCTGAAGTAGGTAGATGTTCTATCACCACTGCTTTTCAATATTTCCATAGAATATGCCAACAGGAAAGTTCAAGAAAATCTGGGCAGTTTGGAACTGAATGGGACACATCAGCTGTTGGTCTATGCTGATAATATTAATCTTTTGAGTGACAATACAAATGCTATAAAAGTGAACACAGAAATATTATTAAGGGCTAGTAGGGATGTTGGTCTAGAAATAAATGCAGAAAAGACAGGGTACACGATCATGTCTCATCATCAGCGTTCAGAAGTAAACCAAACCATAAGGACAGCTAATGAGTCGGTAAAAATGTGACAAATTAAAGTACTTTGGGATGACAGTAACAAGTCAGAATGACATTTAAGAGCAGATTAAATTCAGGGAATCCTTGCTATCATTCAGTCCAAAATCTTTTGTCCTCCAGTCTAATATCATAAAAACTAAATATTAAAATACACAAAATTGTAATTTTGCTGCTTGTGCTTATGGGTGCAAAACATGGTCTCTCACCTTGAGAGACGAACATAGACTGATGGTCTTTGAGAACAGTGTTGAGGAGGATAGTTAGACCTAAAAGGGTGGAAGATGGATCATGGCGAAAATTGAGCTGTACTCCTCACCTGATATTGTTAGTGATTAAATTGAGGATGAGGTGGGTGGGACATACGGCATGCGTGGGGGAGTGTTCACAAGGTATTGGTTCGGACGTCTGATGGGAGAAGACTGCTAGGAAGACCTAGGTGTAGGTGGGAGGACAACGTTAAAATGGTTCTTAGTAAGACAGGAATTGATGGAGCAAACTGGATGCAAGGATTTCATCTCAATGGGGCAATTAGAACTGCCACCTTACTTCAGGCTGTAAATTAAAATTTATCTTATTAAACTGCCACAAACAATACAAAGTCCATGGTACACTGTTTTATTCTCCTTGAGAAGTTGACAGCTGTTAAGAAAATTCCTTGCTATTACAGAAACCTGAAACCATTTACAAAATTCACAGGCATCAATAATAAAAGTATTAATATTATATGAATATACAGATCTGAAAGCCAGTAGTGAAGATCAGAGATTTAAAGTTCTTGCAATGGTGACTACGTTGACTGTGGTGTTGTAGGTGATTATGAGTATTTTGTAGGAATGAATCACCTACAACTTCAGATGCTGGTTACTATCTAGAATATTGCATAGTGCTACAACACTTAAGACCATAACTGAGTAACAATGGTAACTTTCATGATTAAATAGAAAACAAAATATTTATGATAAATGTCAACTAATAATTCTGTTATGTAAAACATTCTGCAAGATAAGAAGTGGGACAACATACAAGGATGACAGAAAACTCACAAATCTGATACTCTGAAATAGGATATTTACATACTTCTTTCTGAATAAGCCACTAAAATAAACCAAGTGCTGATATGATACATGCATTGGCTATACCCTCTTCTGTGAAATTCACTGTGCTGGTTCACTGCACATATTTGACAAACTCAGTATCAGCATTGTAATACTGTGTGACTCCAAAGAGCAATGACTCCACTACCTGCAGCCAGAAGAGATGGATATTTTGTCTTTTCTGGTATACATACGAAAGCACACACACCAACTCCTGGTTTTATCCCTGATGTTCAAAAGCACCTGCATCTCCTCTTACCATGACAGTTTTATCATTTCTTTATTTCCAAATGTCATGAGACAAACTCCAGTGTCTGTTCAACAAGCTACAGCTTGACAAGTGATAACATAGCAGTCTGTATGATTATATTCAGGATACCATTTAAAATAGAATACTCTAGCACATATCTTCCATCATAAGCATGTCAATACAGATACTGATTTACCACACGTACCAAGCAGTTGAAAGAGCAAAATGAAGTAATGATGGAATTCTAACAACACTCACTTCCACACCACGATCTCCGCATAGAACTCTGAGTATTGAGAAAATCATGCAGCCAAGAATAATTTGTTTTCCATAAACACAAAAGTCTCTCACATTCTCAGATGTTATCTTGTTCCCAAGTAGAGCGTATGACACTATAGCAATAAAAATGATAATCTTTGTTGAAAACTTTCCAATCAATAAGAGCAAACCACGCACATAAAGTACAGCCTAACTGTTTGAATTTCATATCTGCAAGAAAAGGATAACTGTATCAGACATGGTAAATTAATATGGTGGAATGAATCCATTTAAATAAATTCTATGTTAAATTAGTAATGCATTTAAACATTTTATTATTACAATCCTGAGACAGCATCTATCTTCTGGAATATGTAGGTAGGGTTCACCTCCCACTATGACTATTGGGACTTAACGTTTTCCAGAATGACTCTGATTCCCAGTCACATGACTTACACAAAGTGTGAAGTATTTAAATAGGTAAAGTTGAATTTGACATGAATGTCCAACTATAAAGTTCTGGGAATGATTCTACAAGACTAAATATTACAGTGCATATGCAAAGTTGTAATTCTGACTCACTTATTTGTTAAGCAGGTAGATACCTGCAATGCCTAAGCAGGAGTGAGAGACTAATACTGAAATAGATCTTAAAGAAATGGGGTATAGGATGTGGACAGTATTGAAAAGGGCTGTGATAGGGATCAGAAGCAGACTTTAATGAACATAGTAAAGAATATTAATGTCTATAAAACTCAGGAAATTCTTGAATAACTGAGAAACTATCAATTTCTCAATGACACTGAAAATAGTTACATCTGGAATTCAGTTGTGGCCTCCATTGCAACAACCTGAATTGTTTGTTCTCACTCAATTTTTTGAACTACACATGCAGAATTGTTCCTATGAATCTAATATTCAGTAGTAAATAAAAAATGAAAAATTGAGTACCTACTATACATACAAAATTTGAAGGCTAATTGTCCTGTTTATAATCAGTGAATGAGACACAAATGGTCAGATAAACACAGATGTTTTGCTTCAGCAGTAGAAGGTATGTAGACTAAATGCAGAGGTTAAGAGGACTGAAGGAAAACAACTGACAGACAAGTTTCTGCAGTAAGTTATTAAATTACTAAAAAGAAGTTACCTGCGAGCAAATGAGACAAGGTAAGCAAATGGTTTCTCCCACGCATACATCTTGATAACCTGTATGCCAACAATGAACTCATTCAAGAATCTAACTTGCACATCAGTTCGCTTGGCAGTGCGGAGATGGAAAGTGGACAGCAACTTTCCAAAATATAATGATAAATTAAAAATTGCACAATTAACCAACTAATACAAATACCATGCATATAAAGTACCATAGCAGGGCTATTGCTTACTGGATATGGGACAATTTCAAGTTATCTGATCTCTTAATAGTATGACTTTCAATCTTTAACTAATAAGAAAAATAATGATGTCCTATACATGAGATGTAAATAGCAAACAATTAGTGTTAATATGCTTAACCCTCCCTCAGGCCCCAATTAGGTTATAAATTCTGCAGTTTCATCAAATTCTTAAACTTACCATATTACATAAAGTAAATGCAGATCATGAACTAGTGGCAGAATTGAGGTTAGGATTACATCAGTGTTTCCTAAATTCGTTAAGCCATTAAATTTGTCAGCATACAATGTTTGCTAATGGTTTGCAATCACATGTTTAGCCTATCTGCATGGGGGAATTCAGATTCCAAGTCCCAACCTTCTGCAGGATGAGCTTCCACTGATAATTTAAATTCAGGCAAAAATAATCATATTTCATTATTATTATTATTGTTTTCATTTCTTCTTAGAAAGGAAATGCTATTGAATTTCTGGGTTTGTAGTGATAACAATACAAGATGCCTGGGTACACCCACTTTACTAGTTTAAGCCACTTAAAATAGCCCAATTTCCACCATCATCTAAAAATTAAAAAATATATATATATATTTTGTCAATACATATATCTGATGAAAGACTCAACCTTCATCTTGATGGTTATGAAAGAAGAATTCATGTAGTTCAAAGACAATTTGTGAGATGGCCGCACAAAGCTGGAGCTGTATGTATCCAACACACATTAGAATCTGCAGCAGTAAATGATAGCAGTGTAACTTCCATAATGTTGATGGGTTAAACAGACATCTTCATAGAGGCTTGGGTCATGTTATTAAAGGGGCCAATACATGTACTTATACACAATAATTTGTAGTTTCATGATTAAAATTTCCTACAAAATACACACCTTGTAATGGAATAACAAGCACAATGGTTGCAACTCCAATAACTGCAGCAAAGCCAATTTCACACCACATCAGATACGATATAACAAGTGTCTGTAATGGACCAAACCAGAGGTACACAAAGAAATTGACACTATGGTCAAACCGGTTCACATCGTTGGACATAAGATTGACTGCTTGGCCTATAGTTGTTTCCCTCAGAGCTGTCTTAGTCAACGTCAATGCCTAAAATAGAGTTCAGAATTACAACAAGTTTCAAAATGTACAAGACATGAATTTGAAAGTGCAATGTCAGAAATCCCAAACAATTGGCATAAAGAGTAGAGAATTTTGAAACACCTCATAAAAGCTGTTTTTCTTCATGTCAACTATACTGCAACTGCTCTGGCTATAACTAAGGTAACTTGATCCTAATATTTTGTAAACCCTTTGATAGCAATGGAAGTTAAGTTTTACTACATTTTAAAAATCTGTAGGCTAAATAAATAATTAAAGCAGGTTGCTTTAAACCTCCAAGTTTTAATATTCCTATGTCTGAAAACATAAAGTCAAAAGATTTTTGAAGCCATAATAAATGTCACTTTTGAACAAACAAAGAAGTTAACAGGCATTATTACTTATAAATTTAAAGTTCCTAGCTACACTGGTTATCAGCCACTACTTTGGAAATATTTTGGACAGCCACCATAGTGTTCTTTCTTTTATAAAATAGTGCCTTAGTAATCAATTCAATTTTATAAAAAATCCAGCATAGTACAAAAACTTAGAGTTCATGATTTAAAATTAGTTTCTGATTTTGAATTTTTGTCATTGATTGTGGGAAGAACGTCTGGTAGAGTGGCCCAAATCATTGGAAAATATTTGGTTGGAAGGCCCGAGTGGAGTACATTCCGTGCTGAGTTAATTGCAACATTCTTTCCTCCCAGGATAAGGGAGAGATTTGGTTCTCAATTCGGTGTGATGTATTTTCATATCGTAGCCGACGACAACGATTGAGCATTTTGTAAATAGTATGTTGCTTGTGTGTATTGTTTGGCGTAAGAGAGCGAAGTGAAATTGTAAGTATGTATACTTGTGTTGTGTTCGGGCGTAGCCCAGTATGTTTTTTTGGTATCATCTTTTTATAGGTCGACTTGTACAGGTTTTATTTTATAGCCAGTATATAATATTGTATGTAACTGGGGTTTGTGTAAATCTCCTGTTACTGAAAGTGTCTGTGGGGATTGCATCACGAGTGAACGGACGCCTGTTGAGAGGCTAGAGCCGCGTGATAAGTCCCGGGGAAGTACGCAGTTTTGATCACGAGAGATTGCGTAATAAGTCGCATGATCAACGCCTGGTAGAGGCTAGCGATCTCCTGACTCTTTGTCTGGCGTGGGAATCCCAGAAGGGAGTGGAGTCGTCGTCGTGTAAGAGTAGGGAGCAGTTGTGAAGGAAGCTGTTCCATTATCGAATAATGAAGTCCCTTGTGGGAGGTGAATAGTGAAAGAAGTTTGTTTTTCATTATGGTTGAGGACCAAAAAGAAACTTGGTCTCTAGCAAAAAACTAAGGAAGTTTTTTTTGTGAAATCACTACAACCCATATATTGATCTACATTTTTATGTATTGAATTTTGTTCTTGGGGTTGAGTGAGATAGTATGTGATTAATAATTGAAGTTATTAATTGCGGCCGGACTGGCGGCTGAAGGGATGTTTGCGAGTATTAAACCAATACTCGCAAACCTACAACTTTAAGGGGGGCCTTTACGTAGTATTCTGTTTAAATAGGGAAATGTTTCCCAAATGGTGTTGAAAGTTCGCTGCCATCTGTATGGACGCACCTGGGGTCTGTATGAATGTGTGTAACTTAGAATTTTGTTCTTAGTGGAAAATTAGTTTGTATTCTCTCTTGTTTCATATTACAATTTTTGTAATTTTTACTTTGTCAATTTAAATTCATTAAATTCATTGTTTGTTTTGTTTTAAATTCAATGGCATGAGTTTGATTTGAGAGTTAATGTTCAACTGCCTTCAATGTTCCTTGGTTTCCCCAATAATATCTCGGGGCGTAGAATACACGAGCAACCGAGTCAGCAGCAGGTGGACCGGCTGAGTTTCGGTTCACTTTTGAACGTTTGGCCCTGAGCTTTGTTGATAGTGATTACGAAGGCAGGCGTTAAGGGGAACTGGCGTCTCCACATAGTAAATGGGTATTCGCTGTCACAATATAGTTTTATACGTGGAATGAAAATTTCCCCGCAATGATCTCCCGTTATGACGTTGAAGGAGGTTGTTGGTCATCTGCTGTACTAATAAACGTGTTCCGTTAACTAATCCTTCCCAAACGATTAAGTTACGTACCAACATGACAATAGCGTTCTTACGAAGACGCAAATTGTGTGGGGGCAGTGATCATAGTCGCAAAGTGTTTAAGTATTCGGGTGTCACCATTTCACTGAACTTTTCTTTGTCCGAGTCTTCGACACCATCAATGCTCGAGTAGATTCGCTCAGTCTTTTCGTCTAGTAAGTCAACAACTCTCTCATTTATTTCGTCGACGTCACAATTTCTTGCAGCAAGGATTGCGGTAGTTT